TCTTAAAAGCTTGAAGTTAAACAAGCAGCCATCTAGTAGTGAAGCAACAAGCCCACATGGAAGAAGCACACCTGCCAGTGCGATCATGAGGTGTCATTGAGACTGGGCAACGGTATCAGAAGATTCACAACAAACAATAAACAAACAAACAAAAATGCATTGGTGAGAATGGAGGGGGGTTGGAGGAGAGACCCAAAGCCCATCTGTGGACAATGGAACTTCCCCCCACAGAATGGTCACAGGGAAGGGATGAGTCAATCAGGGTGCAGTAGAGCACTAATGGGGCATGCAATATACCTCTCTTCCCTGGAGGCCTCCTCACCCCCGCCCACTCCCGATATCATGACCCCAGTGCCACTTCCCAATATAGATTAGACAGGAGCATGTATATAGGTATAAGCAAGAGATAAAACTCACAACACATGGAACCCAGGAACAGGAGTGGGCATAGAGATAACAAAAGGGTAAGGGGACATGGGGGAGAGGTGGGGAGGGAAGGGACACTGATCACAATGAATGGCGCATAACCACACACCCTCATAGTGGGGGAAGAACAACAGAAACCAGAGGGGAAGGGAAACAGCTGTCAGTGTGAAACTTGAAAATAATTAACAATCTACAATCTATCAAGGGGCCACAAGGGTTGGTGAGGGTGGGGGAGAAAGGGAAAAAGAGAGGAGCTGATCCCAAAGGCTCAATGGAAAGTAAATGTCTAGAAAAGAAAGATGGAATATATATACTAATATGTCGGATACAATTGATGTATGGATTATAACAAGAGTTGTAAGAGCTGCCAATAAATTGATAACTTTATAAAAGATGTTTTTAAAGATGGTCTATTAAAGTTAAGAACCTTATCAACTTACCCAAAGTACTAGAAATTAAATAATTGTTGATAAAGTAGACAACCTCTCTTTCTGCAAGGAAGTTGAAGATCAGAAAACTTGATCAGAAAACTTGAAGATTAATAGCAATTGTTCTAAATGAGACTGGAGATTAGAATTAGAGGAGACAGTCTGAAGAGAACCTATACAAAGATTATGACACCTTTAAAAATCTTTCTCATATGGACAGTACTGGAGACACAGTGCGGGAATAGTACACGGTCTGGCCCCATCACGCTGGGGTGAGGCACTGAGAACATGCAGCAGAGCAGCAGGGAGAGCAGAGTGATGAAACCCCGGGGGATTCCCAAAATTGGCCTTTGGGGCCGGGTTTTGGCACTCCATCAGACTCAACTGGAAAACACTCGTAACGACCAGCAAACAGAACTTGAACTATTTATAGGCTTTTCCATTTTTGTCATTGGCTTTCTTTTTGTTATTGTTATTTTGTTTGTTCTGTTTTTCGTTGTTATTGTTTTGTTGGTTTTGACTTCCTTTGTTGTTTTATTTGGCTTTGCCAGGTTTTTGCACTTATTAATGTATCTGCATGTCTATCTAGATAAGATAGGTGGAATAGATAATTCGGAGATGAAAAGACCAGGTGTACATAGGAGAAGGGGAGGTGGGAGAAAGGAAGTGGGTGGTAACCAACCCAGGGACAAGGGAACAGCAAGTGAACTAAAATCAATGGAAGGAAGATCGTAGGATGCCTAATGGGGCTTAATCAAGGGATATGTAGTAGAGAGGAATTACTAAACTCGAATGAAGGCTGAACATGATAGTGGGACAAGAGGAAAGTAAAAGGAAATAGAGGAAAAAACCAGGAGGCAAAGGATATTTACAGAGGCCTAAAAACATCCATGTACATACGTAAATACATATATAACAAGAGGGGGATAGAACTATGTACTCTTATCTATATGTTAAGAATTAAGTTTGCAGATGGACATTGGGTCTTGACTCAAGTACTCTTTTAACACAAGAACACTTTATTCTAACAATCTGGCATTCTGTGATGTTCACCTTCCCGAAACAATCGATGAAGACAAAATGGGTGCATAAGCAAATGTGGTGGAAAAAGCTGATGGTATCTGGCTATCAAAAGATGAAGCATCTGGGGTTTTAAAGGCTTGAAGATTAACAAGCAGCCATCTAACTCAGAAGCAACAAAGCCCACATGGAAGAAGCACACCAGCCTGTGTGATCATGAGGTGTCCATGGGATCATGTATTTGATATCTAAGACCCAGAATAAAAACATTCCCAATGTGAATAAGGAGGGACATGGAGTGGAGACCCAATGCCCATCTGCAGATAATTGGACATCCCCTCCAGGGTGGGTCATAGGGAAGAGATGAGCCATTCAGTGTGCAGTATAACATTGATGAAACACACAACCTTCCTCTAGTTCTTTGGTGCTTCCTTCACTCCACTATCATGACCTCAATTTTATCTTACAAATCAGATATGACCAGAGCATGCATACTGCTACAGATAAGAGCCCACAACACAGGGAATCCAGAATACATAAACCTCTCAGGGCTAACAAAGTGAATAGAGATACCAGGAGGATTAGGGGAGAGTGATGGGAGAAAGGGGGAATTGATCACAAGGATCAAACTATAACCCCCTCCCAGGGAGACGAATAATGGGAAAGTGGGTGAGGGGTGAAGGAGGATGATGTAAGATATGGAAAAAATAACCTATAACTTCCCAAGGGTTCATGAGGGCTGGCGGGCGGGGGAAGGAGGGGCAAGAAATGGGGGACTGATATCAGGGACTCAAGTGGAAAGAGAATGCTTTGAAAATGATGATGGCGACATATGTGCAAAGATGCGTGACATACTGGAGGAATGTATAGATTGTGGTAAGAGATGTAAGAGCCCCCAATAAAAGTGTTTAAAAAAATCTTTCTCACGTCAGAAACTATGTTTCTCCATTCCTGATTCTCTTTATTGTTGTAACTGAAGATAATACATACAGGAAGGAGAAGCTTTTTTATTCTATATGAGCTCTCAGAATATCTTCATTGTAGTAGAAATTATAGGTGCTAAAGTACATCTTTATCTTTAGAAGCTCAAGTTTCCACCTCTAGTATAACTGCAAGAGTGAGTTTGAATTTTACTCTCCACAGCATCCTGAGGAAGGTAAAAAGTTTTAAGGTGAGAGTGGATGTAGGAAAGGCGGGGGGGTGGGGGTGGGGGATACCCAGTCTCCTTATTTCTCAGGGAATGTACCCTTAAATACCATTCGTGGGATAATAAATCTCAGTCTCATCCTTATGAAGGATGTAGGATGTAGCAGAGACATTATGATGCAATGAGGAGCAGTTGCAGGACACTGGTGACATTGTGAAGTCAGGACTTTTACTGAAATGTGTGCTGCTGTGCAATGCAACCCAAAGTCATCTTTCCTCTCTGCTAGGATCCTAGGGGCTAATCGACTTCTTCTGTCAGGATGGCATTTTAAGATCAAAGGAATGAAGTCTAGCCTAAAAATTCAGACAGCAGAGAGGCATTCCAGCAACTTGAAAATTTTCCAAGTTAGCAATTTGACACTCCTATTTCTGAAGAGATTTCTTATGTTCTTGTAGCTATGAATCCGAAAGAGGAAAAGCGAAATTTCCGCATTGCTCTCCAGATGAATAATTTCAAGACAGCTTTGAAGGGGTTTGAAAGATTGATTGAACATACAGCAGCCCAGAAAAGGGATGAAAGATTGGGTTTATTTACTTCAAAAGAAGGTAAGATCAGTGATTGCTGAGTAGTCTAATTGTGTATATTGATTAAAACTGGCAAGTATTTTAAGCCATGAGACAGAAGCAATGTAATTTAACTGTAAAGACACTGAATGGAGAATCTGAAGACCTGAATTCTAGCTCTGATTCTATCTCTAAATAACTACGTGGCCTTGGAGAAGCCTTTCCATTCTCTGAACTTTAGTAATCTTAATTGTAAAATAAGGAGGTTAGCTTACATGATACGTCAGGATTTTTCTGTAAGTTCTGTCATTTTTAATATACACAGTCTGACCCTGAACTCTTTCTGTAACGAATAGTGATCATTTGCAAGCCATGTTAAGGCTAAAAGATTCTCCTAATTTAGTTACTTTAATATGAGTCCATTGTTTCGACTTCTTCCATATCTCTCACTAGAATGATTTTGAACATACCAAGGTAAGAAGAATGGTGGTGGCTATTAACCTGCCAGCAGAGATTCTAGAGCAGAACTGAAAATATACCATCATAGTCAGGGTTCAAAGAAAATCATGTAGCGTGCAATGTAGGGTCATTCAGGATAGAAATGAAGAGCAGAATTTAACAGCAGAGAAAAAAGGTTAACAGAACAAATCCTGATGCTGCAATAAAATATCAGACTCCATAATGACTTCAAAAGAAACTGAATGGTCAGGCTTTTGCTGTACTAAGTATATGCTTATATGTGATTGAAAAAATTGCATTTTGATTTTAAAACACAGGTCAGTATTTTCTAACAGTATTTTATAGTTTACAAGTCATTTTCAACTCAATTTACTGCCATCGAATTAACCTTGACTTCTACTACCCTGATAGGACAGATGAGAACTGCTCTTGTGGGTTTCCAAGGCTATAAATCTTTTTTTTTAATATCTGCCTTTATTTTTCTTATCTAAACACTTCATATATATGTTTGGGGAAAATTGTCAGAAATGCTAACAATTATAAATTACTCAAATGAATTAAAACGAAGTAAATATAATACTTATCATTAGGTTAGCAGCCTGACATGTAACCCACTGTGTGAGGAGTGGGTTATTACTCTCCCCGCTTTGTTATATATTTTTTAAT